TTTTCTATGAAAAATATTATTAGAAATCTAGTACATACAGTTTTTATTCAAGGTAGTTTTTTTATAGAAAAATGTCCTGGGACATATTTTCATTTACCAGTATTCAGCAATTTTTTTTTTCTTTTTCAGAAAACTAAAAATGGAAAGAGCGAGTCGAGCTTTTCAAATTTTACAACTTTCCAGAAAACAACACACATTGGAAAAAAAAATGCACAAATCTATTTGTAATCTGAAGTTGACTTCATTCTTAGGCCTAAAAAAAATGTTATGTTGGCATAACAGGCCCCAAAAAATAGGGTAGGTACAGTAGGTAGGGATTTTTTTTTTTTTTTTGCATCTACAATATTCAGCAAGGACCTTGAAATCTATAAAATCAATTAAATAAGCCTTTAAAGCATATAGTTGTCATATCACACTTTTAAAACATTTTGAGTGACACCTAACCACGCCTACTTTGTTCACGTAAACCTGTATTGCAAAATTTAAATAAAAATGTATAGGGTTGGCCTATTTTTTTTAGGGTAGTTCGGGTTACGCCAACATAACATTTTGTTTTTAAGGCCTTTTATGAAGAAGCTGCTTTAGCAAATATTAAATTTAAATTATTAAACTGATATTTTACATTATGCAAATATTGACTGCTTATCAAGAAAATGGTGAAATCTATCGCCCTGAGGTGATGCGAGACGTAGCGGGTATTGCTAAATCCCGCAAATCCTGCATACCCCACAAACCTCCAAAATCACATTGTAGAACTCATCCAAACTACAGTACATGATTGTGATTGTATCATTTGCTATAGGACTCATAAGTTCACGTTCATAAAAAAAATTTTTTTTGTGAAAAATACACCGTAAACCTCCAAAAACACTGCAAACTCCATCCAAACCTTGTGAAAGTGATTGAATTATGTAGTATAGGACTCACTTGGTATCTCAATTAAAAAAAATAAATATACAGTATGTTCATAACAGCCTATTTTTGGTGTAAAAAGCAAAATTTTCTAAACCTAGAAAACCTCTTTATTATTTAGCTTTTGTTCATAGGAGTGATAGTTGAAATTATTGCCTGCTTCTTAACCAAACAGATGCCTAGAATGCAGTATATAATTAGTTATAACTTTTTATGATCTTCATTTTATTTAATCTTTATTTAGACTTTAGATATAAACAAGTGAAGAAAAGTCATGTCTCTCCTATGCAAACAGGTTAGCCTTTTTTTCCTTAAACTTGTATACTTTATTGCTTTTAAAACAAATTTTATAACTATTAATTAATATTTCCTTTTTTCATTACCCTTTGACCATATATGGCCTACATTAACCTAGATTTTACATATTTAAGGAATATATTACCATGGTAAGAATGGTGTCAATAAATTTGCTTCACTGATGTTGTTATAGCATTACATATCCAGGTTTCCTATAGGTGTTTTTTTTTTTTTTTTTTTTTTTTTTTTAACAGACCAGTACATTTTTACTGGTACTCAACCACTTTGACTGGCCACTATCTTGCCAACTTTGAGACGTGCCCATCACAGATAAAATAGACAAAAGTATCTTTACATTTTGGAATAACTTTGTGATAAAATGATCAGTAGTATAACAATAGTTTTGTTAGACTTATTGAAACTTTTAACTACTATTGCAAAACCAGTCTATTTCTTACTCAATATAAGTTTCCTTCCTATATTTGTATACCTTGAACCATAGGTTCAATCTTCTTGATTTTTCAGGGAAATAGTACTTATTCCAATTAAATACCAGGCTAGACTTACGTACACTTCTGTTGTTTTTGAACAGTTTCAAATTCTAATTATGTGTTGTTTTGCTTGACTTGTTTCACTGTGTTGTAAACTGCTTATAGTAAATTTATTTTAAAGATGATGAAATTGTACCAGATTCTGTTGACAGTGATCTCTCTGCTAAAATACCAGGTTAGTCTTTGTATTTCCAAGTACTGCACATGTGTATTTATAGTTGGTTAAGGAGTAGTTTCAATTATCCTACTGTGTGAGTAAATAAAAGTTAAATGGTGATAAATTTGCCAACATCACATGCTATAAGCATCTTACTCTATCACCTATCCAACAACCAGACAACTAATACTATCTATGCAACTAATTAGGCTTTGGTTTCAATGTTATATTATAATAAATAAATAATATTGTTATATTATAAATAAATAAATATAAATATATATATATATATATTGTTTATTTTTATAGTTTGTGGTATTATCTTGGTTTATAGTCACAGGATAGAGTAAATAAACAATATAAATTATTAAATCACTATGCTGCCGCTATTTCTTAAGAACTCATTGCAAATGATAGCATAACAACTCAATTTTTTGGCATCTTGATTTCGTCACAAGCAAATCAGCGGTTAAATTATTTTTACAATTTTAAGGTTATTGATAGCCTGTCCTACAACCATTAACAATTTGTTTTGCTAACCATTAATTGTCATACTTATTGAGAATCCTAGATTTATATAAAGAAGCATATTTAATTAATTTTTCTCCACAGCACTTCACAAAAAAGAAAAAATGAAAAAAATAAATCACAGGAAAGAACAACCCGGTGAGTAAAGAACTGCTTTTGAATACAGACTTCTTGAAAAGTACAGTGTTGCAAGCAAAGTAATTGATCAGATATATATGTAGATATTGTTTCCACAGACCAGTGTAACAAAACAAATGCCTGCTAATCAAATTAATTCAAAATTGTTTGTTTATAGAATTTATTTTTTTATTTTTTTGTGATTGTGTAAAAAGTTTTGAGAAATTAGTTGAGACTGATCAAGTCAAAGTTTTACTATGTTTTTTCTACAAAATTGTCCAGAATGACTGGCCTTAATTATTTTTTTAAATTTTTGGTTTATTTCCTAGAATGCATGTCAAAAAAAACATAGAAGAAACCCTAGATTCTTTAACATTTTGTGGACTTAAAAAGGTAAGATCTATATTCATACAGTAATGAATAGTTTCATTTTAATGCTGAATTAAAAAACACTAATAAAAAAAAAAAAATTTTTTACCTCATAAAAAATAATGATTTTTTGCAGAGTGCAAAATCATGAATTTTGTTGTATTTTTTTAATTTCTTCAAGCCAAAATTAGATGGAATGTAAAACTTATTTACTTTACTGATGTACAATATACTGACATTTTATAGTACCAGTAGTTTGTTTGTATTATTTTGTTTTCATTCAGCCTAATATTAACAGATTAAATTTCTGAAGCCTTCAGTTGGCGAATGTGGTGGCACGCCATGGAAAAAACCTTATTTTGTTTTTGTCTAATTAGTGTTTCTAATTTTAATTAAATAACGAACATGTTACAGCATTTACATTGAAATATTTTATAGCTACATTTCTGTAGCTGTTTTCGGAAAGTCTTATTTCCAGATTCCTGTTAGAATGATATACTGTACTAGATTAAACTTGTTTGACCTGAGAAAAGAAATTCCACTTTCCATTGAATATTAGGTTTAGGCAATATATAATAACATTTGTTTAAATCATTGTTTTATTTCTTTAGGTTTACTAAATATTATAATGATTCTATAATTAATGTATTTTGTTTGTTACTGAGATTTAAGAGTTTTTTAAATTGGTTTTTTGGTCTTCATATATTATATTACATAAAGATTTCACAGAATATATTACAAAATTTGTTTCAATGAAATTGCTACACTCCTAATTTTATCCGTAAATTCATTTGACAACATATGGCGAGAAGATTGATGAAGAATCTGTAGACATTGATACCTTTTCTAGATCACCCCCAGGTGAGGCGGTTATCTTCTCAATTACACATTTATTGTTTTAATAAATACATATCATAAATATTATTTATTTGTCTTCTTTTTTTTCATTTAGCACAACTCATCTAAATTTTAAACGAACAAATTACCACATTTTTTATGAAATCTCCACACTGTTCAAATTTCATTATTAATTATACACTTTATTACTTTATAAATGTTAGTAGTTTGTTTTATATTTGGTTTTTTTTTTGTGCATTCTTTATTCTTCATCTATTACGTAACCCAAATGTTGCATAGAATAATTTTAAGAATTTAACTTTGTGTCAGTAAGTCACTACTTGTGTTAATTTTATCAATAAATTGATTTTACAGATAGTGAAAATGTTGACCAAGCACCAGTCAATGATTCTATACAAATACACGGTTAGGCTTTTGTAAATGTCAAGTGCACTTTTTAAAACATATTAACATTTTACAATAGAAAAAAAATGTTATTTAATTATGAATTTCGGGGTGGATTTTTATGTGTGGTTTCAAAACCGTTTTTTGTTAGTCTGAGCTACATGTGTTTTTTAAATATATGCAATAAAGGTGCCTTTAAAACAAAAACAAAGTGAATAAAAGAGAAAAGCAACAGGGCTTTTCGTGTGGGTCTTAGGCCCTATGCAACGTAACCTTTTGTGATGTAAAATTTTGCTAGGTATTCTTGTTCATAACTGAAAGGACAAACTGTATCATTGTATTTACTTTTTAGAGCTATTTAATGAAATCACTACTCTGTCCTAGTTTCAATCTTAAATTCATTTTACAGATAGTAAGAATATTGATCAAGAATCTGTTGTTTCCGACACTGAAAGCTTTGTTATATCACCCCCATGTAGGCTTTTGTATCCTCTAAAATACATTCTATGGTTTTCCTTTACCGATTGTAAGTGTTTTTTGTGCAAGCTTTTACATTTTACATTTACATATAGTTTTTTCAGTAATTTTTATATTTAATTGTAAAATCTCAAAAATCTCTTTTCCTTTTAAAGTGTATTTTTAGTTTAAAATGATGTACAGAAATTTTAGCTGGCTGACAATAAAGTATTAAATATTATTAGGTATTTTGAATAAAGACATTTTTTTTCATTATTTTCTTTGTCATCAAATAATACATTACTTAAAGGTTACAACAGAGAATAAATTAAAAACTTTATTTCAATGAAATTGCTACGCTGTCCTATGTTATCCCTAAATTCTTTTGACAGATGGTGAGAAGATTGATCAAGAGTCGGTTGTTTCAGACATTGATACCTTTGCTAGATCACGCCGAGGTGAGGTATTTATTTTCTCAATTACACAGTTATTGTTTTTTAAATACATGTTATCAATTGACAGGATTTTGTATCCTGTCAAATACATTTTATGGCTTTCCTTTACCGATTTAAGTGAATTGTTTTATGCACGTTAATTATATTGTTATATTTACATATAGTTTTTTGCTGTCATTTTTAAATTATATTTGTAAATCACAATTTATTTCCCTTTTTAAGTGTACAGGTATTGTTAAACTTCAATCAGTTTTGAATTATGTACAGTAATTTTAGGTGGCTGACAATAAAGTATAACATATTATTAAATATTTTAAATATAGACAGTTTTTTCTTGTTTTTTTGTCTTCATAATATGAAGACAAAAAATATTATATTACCTAAAGATAGAGAATAAATTACAAACTTGATTTCAATGAGTAGCTACACTGTCCTAATTTTGTACCAAAATTCTTTTAATAGATGGTGAGAATATTGATCAAGAATCAGTTGTTTCAGACATTGATGCCCTTACTAGATCACCTCCAGGTGAGGCAATTATTTTATCAATTACACAGTTATTGTTTTTAAAATTCATGTTACAGTTATAAATATTGTTAATTTGTCTTCCTTTTTTGTTTTCATTTAGCACAACTAATCTAAATTTTTAATGAACAGATTACCACGTTTGAATGAAATCACTACACTTTTCAATGAAATCAGTGCACGTTTCAATGAAATCACACTTTATTGCTTTATAACTTATGTTGTAAATGTTGGTAGTTTGTTTTGTGTTTGTTTTTTGTGCATTCTTTATTTTCATGTTTTACATAAACCTAAATATTACATAGAATAATTTTAAGAAAGAAATTGCTCATGGAAGACTTGGTTTCACTAACCTGTTTTAATTTATCCATAAATTGATTTTACAGATATTGAAAATGTTGACCAAGCACCTGTCAGTGATTCTGTACAATCACCAGGTGAGGCTTTTCTAATGTCAAGTGCACTTTTTAAACCATCATATTAACATTTTTCCTGATTTTGAGGTTTATGGTTATGTGTGGTTTCAAAACCACTATTTTGTTAGTGTGAGCTACGTGTGTTATTTTAAATATATGCAATAAGGGTGCCTTTAAAACAAACACAAAGGGAATAAAAGAGAAAAACAACTGGGCGTTTTGTTTTTTGGTCTTCGACTCTATGCAACGTAACCTTCTGTGATGTAAAAATTTGCTAGGTATTCTTGTTCATAACTGAAAGGACAAACTGTATCATTGTATTTTACTTTTTAGAGCTATTTCAATGAAATCACTACTCTGTCCTAGTTTCAATCCTAAATTCATTTTACAGATAGTAAGAAGATTGATCAAGAATCTGTTGTTTCCGACACTGAAAGCTTTGTTATATCACCACCAGGTAGGCTTTGTATCCTGTCAAATACATTCAGTAATATTAGGTGTCTGACAGTATTTTAAATAAAGACAGTTTTTTTTTTGTTTTTTTTTTGTCATCATTATGACATTACCTAAAGATTATAGAGAATAATTTACAAACTTTAACGAAATTGCTACACTGTCCTAATTTTGTCCCTAAATTCCACTAAAAGATGGTGAGAAGATTGATCAAGAATCGGTTGTTTCAGACATTGATACCTTTGTTAGATCTCCTCCAGGTAAGGCATATTATTTTCTCAATTACACAGTTATTGTTTTTTAAATAGTTATATAAATATTATTAATTTGTCTTCCTTTTTTTTTATGGTTTTCATTCAGCACAACTAACCTAAATTTTAAATAAACAAATTACCATGTTTCGATGAAATCACTACACTTTTCAAATTTGATCATTAATAATACACTTTCTTGCCTTAGAAATTCATGTTAAAAATATTGCTAATTTGTTTTGTGTTTGCTTTTTTGTGCATTCTTTTTATTCATATTAAACATAACCATAAGAAATTACTCATGAAAACTTGGTTTTACTACCTGTTTTAATTTTATCCATAAATTGATTTTACAGATAGTGAAAATGTTGACCAAGCACCAGTCAGTTAGTGAAAATGTTGACCAAGCACCAGTCAGTGATTCTATACAACCACCAGGTTCGGCTTTTGCATTGTTATGTTGACTTTTTTTAACATATTAACATTTTCCCTTTAGAAAAAATATTATTGATTTTGAGGTTTATGGTTATGTGTCACCAGCAACAACACTAGTATGTGTGGTTCCAAAATCATTTTTCGTTTGTGTGAGCTATATGCACACCAACTGTGTGGCGATCGCATTTATGTGAAGAAGTAGGAGTTCATAACAAGGTGAATAACGAATTCACCTAAAAGAAGTCCACTGTGTGCACAAAAGCTAGTGTACTGTCAATATAAACTATAGTCTTTAAAACACTAAATGTTTTTTGAGTTTTCTATATTTATGCAGTAAACCTTTTATTTAAACTTAATTCTTTGTAATAGTGAAATTTCTATTTCTTTCCAGGTTCTAAACAAAAAAACCCCACAGACCATGTCCGTTTTGTGGAGTTCTTCAAAGTAGACTCAGCAAGCACATGTTGACTAAACACAAAGATACCCCTGGCATTGTACGTGCTTTAAAACTTCCTGAAAAAGAAAATTTAAATGTCTTAGGTTACAAGGAATTTACAAGCACAATGAACACTTAATAAAGAGTGGTAAGACCTCAGAGTTGATGACCCAGAGAAAGCTAAACAAAGAGACGCCCCTTTTAGTTTGCAGTTGCTGTAAAGGGTACTTTAGCAGACGTTTTTTCTTTGGCACCACAAAAAAGCATGCAACAAAGATTCAATTGAAATGGCATCACCATTACCAACCTCCCTCTTCAGACCCCTACCCAGTTTTGTGTCTGATGAATTTAAATTCCAAATTTTGAGAAGATTTCGTGATAGTGAGATTGGACCTTGCTGCAGAGAAGATCCAATTATTTGCCTGTTTGGAAAAACGCTCTACACAAAAATGAAAAGAAAACAAGATAAACATGTTGAGGTACAGAAATCAATGATGTCAGATATGAGGAAGGTTGCTACTCTATACCTTGAGTTTAAAAATTTGAAAGATGAGTATGACCTGACGGCAGATGAAGGAGAAATGTTAGTGAGAAAAAACTTCATGCAGCAGTTGATAAAGTCACCTCTTGTACAGATAAGGAAGACATGAAGGGTAGACCATACAGCCAAATCAAACGGCGTTCCCGGCTTTTGTCGCAGGTCTCGCGTACATGTTCAAGGCACACAGCGAAAACGAATTTGTACAATTTTTGATTGAGATTATATTCTGATTAGTGCCACAACTTTTTATGTTACTGGATGTTACGATTGGCCTAATGTACAGATGTTATTTTAAAATATTGCAATTTGAATTTAGCAAATTTGTCTAAAGTGAAGCAGATGCTGAAACTAAGCTGAAGTTTTTGCTGTTTAGAATATTTTCAGATGTCAATGAAATTGAAAGTGATATTCAGGATAAATAAGATTTTGTAGAGAGACAAAATGTATGAAGGTAGTTTGTTGTTCATATTAAAATTGCTTGTAATATGTAGCTTAAAAATGGGCTATAATTGGAGAGAAGACTTTAGAAACCATTGTAAATATTATTTACTCTGTGTAGTTTTTTTGTTTTTTGTTTTATTTCCCATGTGCATGTGAAGACATATGGGCATGCCTGTGTGCATCCAGGCTTAAACTTCAATTCTAAGGCAGGCTCATATAATACCTGGCCATATGTGTAAGGCAGATTATGAATACTTGTTCATCAGTAAGTAAGACCCCTATGACAGCTGCCATGCATACCACCAGTATGACTACTTTTAGGTTAAATCCTACTTGAGATCGATGTCTCTTAGTTCTATATTCTCTATGGTAGTAGGTACAGTATGTTCTGTATATCTGCGATGTATCTGTGTGGTCGTCATGCTTTCCTTAAGCGTTGCTTAAATTGGGGATTGTATACCTTATTAGTATTGTTCAAAGGTTTAGTAATATTGATTACTGTACTTCCATACGCTTAATGTTACAGATATTTGGTGGATGCTGGAAACATTTTTGAGATTTGTATATTTAATGGTGGATTTAATTTCACCTGGGTGATTGTTGTTGCTATTTAGATGTGGCCTTGCTCAAAACTGTTGTTTTGAGCAGGGCTCAAGGCTTTGATGGAATCGGGACTATAATTAAATACTTAATTAAGGTGTTTTTGTTGTATTACCAGTGAAATTAGGCAATGACAGCAAAAAAAAGACTAGTTTGTTTCCAACCCATTATGAGAAGCCACCCTATTCAAATGATGTTATTGCAAAACAGTTTTAGTTTTACTTTTTGTGGATGCTTCAGCGTTTTGTTGTATGATTAAATACATATTTGAGAATATGTATAGTACAGTTATCCCAGGAGTAAAAGAAAAAGTTGTTATAATAAATCTCTCATTCAGGTTGTATAGGAGTTGTATTGTGTTAATTTATTATGCGTGTATTATAAAACAAATAATGCTATATTTCATTTCGTTTATTTCATTGGCACAAACGGCCCAAAGGTTGCGTCAGCAACAGTGCGCCATAACACCACAAGTGGTGCCCACAACCTTTGGAACAAAGAACAGTACAGTAAAATTACAAAACAATTATTTACAACATAACCATAAAATTGTAGGGAAATTAAAAATCAGTAAAAAACAATAGTAATCATGAATGGCCAATACCAAACAATTAAAAATTATCGTTCATTCAGTAAGTATTGTCTAAGTTTACAAATAAAAGAATTGTAC